GTGTTCACAGTGCCGTAATGAATTCTTGAGATTTTGCAGGCTACGGTAAGTATTTTCTTACTATACGTAGTATGTATATTTTGGAAACTATACTGGTTTTACAGCAAGGGGTTATTATGTTTTCGAAAAGGTTTTTACAAATATTTGTTTCTAGGCCCACTCACCCTTGTTTTTCACCCTTCCAGGTTTTATTGCTAAGCTTACATGTCAACGAGGATTCTTGGTAAATCTTGGTGTAGACGATTACCTTCGATGGTATAATTCTCACCCTATCTTACTGTACTATACTTATGCTTTGACATCACGTGTGAAATGGGTTCATTCCTGCTCATTGCGCACTCTATTACTTGGGCACTTTTAGGTTTAGGTTTATACACGTTTTCCAGATCACTACACTTTATGACTTCGTCTCCTTTCAGGTGTCGGCCAGCACAGCTCAGTTTGGAGTCCAAGTGGACATTCCAAGTATTGCGAACAGGTATTTGAATGATCGAGTTTACGATATAGAAAATTTTATAATATTGTTGATGTTACCCGAGAAGGTAGTGCGTGAGCACGACCAAGACTTTGATTAGACGATGTATGTATATTTTCCAATGAGGGGCAAGATGGTAATATTGCACCCTCGGGAATTATTTGCTTGCTTATCGTGACAACAGTGAGTTGTCGGTACTACGGGCTGCAGATTGTAATATCAATAACTTATTCGTTGAACTTGTTAAGTAAGTAGACATTTTGGTCCGTCTATGTTACTATTTTTATTTATTTATACGTCTGGTTATTTATTTATCATTTGGGCAGTGCTCCTACACGCTTATTCTCGGAGTACGTTACGCTACGCGTGCGTAGGTGAAATTTTTTCTATGTTTAGTTTGGATTTCAGTACAACTAATTTTAAATTTTTCATGATATTATATATGTACTTTTGACGACTTGTTATTATATATCTATTTTGACTTGATGTTTTCGTAAAGAATTTTATATTATAGTATTGTGTTGGAGAAGGAAAGTAGGAGTTTGGGGGCCTGAAAGAGGAATCACGGCACTTTGTTCGCGACGGAATGACATTCTCTTTTATGCAAACACTCTAACTCGATATCTTTTTTATATATTTATTTTCCTACTGTCTTTTCACTACTTTTGTATAACAACTGATTTCAAATTTCAGGGACGACATTTTTTTTAAGGTGGGTAGATTGTGACAATCCGTCCCTAATTTTACGTTTTTATAAATTTTAAATGTGTGAATTGACGAAAATACCCCTATAGGCGAGGGTGTTGATTTTTGTTGACGAGCGTATTGGGAAATATGGGAAACATTCTAGCGTATCCTCATAGTGCTCGCCACTACGAAAGCGTGAGCGTAGCGTAATTTGGAGCTTTAATGAAGGAGTTATGAACGTTTAAAGTTGGGGGCATTTTAGTAAATTTAACCTTCACTCTAGAAGGCTCCAGATTTTCTAGAGCAATCTGATTGAGCCACGTAGACAGTTGTGATGAAGAGTGGAGAAGAGGAAGAGAGAAAGGGACGGTTGAGAGGAGGAAGAAAAGAGAGATAGGGGAAGGGATTGCCCAATCAAGAAAAGAGAACAGAGAGAGAAAGGAGGAGGATGGATCAATTAGAATGGGGAAATGAGGGAAAGTAGAGAGAATGAGGAACTGGCCAAACACATCTCCCTTCGACCCGCGATTAAACCCAACGGAATCCATGATTCCCGACACCTTTCACAACAATTTTTATGGTGAATTGAAGCTGCTCACCCCTTGGAATTGACCTAGCATCCTATCCTTTCCCATTTCCACTCAAAAACCAACAGAAATTGGCCTGAAAATTATGAAGACCGCACAGTGGGTGCGACGAGTCTCATGGCGGTGATCTGCCATTCCTGAAGCAAACTCCATCAACCACCACTCCTATTAGACTCTCCTTGAGCCTAGAAACAAACCCCAAATAACCCTGGAGGCAGCGGAGCACCGGAAAAGTCAAATCGAAGGCCACCATTTTTAGGGTTTCCAGCGGAGACGAATTAGAGCTTTTTCTGGCCAAATTGGCCTTAGCCACAGATATAAAACTTTCTCTACTCATTAAGATCTTCATTTCTGTCAATTTTGGTAATTTTTGGAAATAATTGATTTTTCCGGCAAGGCTGCATGCGGCGGCGCATAGACCGAGATCCCACCTGACCATCCTAGGCTAATTTGATGCCCCGATTCCATAATTGACATCCGTTTAGTGAAATCCTAGTGTTTTAATATAGTTTTGTAGTGGACCGCCTAGTTGGCCGCCACTTGGTTATTATATGAATGGATGATCTGACCGTTGGATCGGCACCAAACTTTAATACGTGATAGTACATAATATTTGTGGACATTATGAAGTTACGAATTGGGAATCCGACATATGGATCTTCCCGAATTGAATTTCTAAAGTTTGTAAAATCCAACGTTGACCACCACTTGAATTTGCGATTGGCGGAGATCCAACCATTAGATCATAAAGAAGTTTTAGTATGTTGTTCTAGAAGCCTAGTGTGGATATTGGGAAGTTACTGATCAGAAATCCATGGGCAGATGTTCCAGATTGACTTATGTAGGGTTGTGGACCTCACCTTCGATAAAGACTTGACTTTTGGATAATATGCTAGGAATTGATCTTAAATATTAAAATCAGTATTAGTAGAGACTATGTAGCGCTTAGTGGGCCTATATTGATTAGTGAGTTGTCCTAGATAACATATACATTGGTTGACTTTTAGGGTTAACCGTTGACTTTTTGTAAAACTTGACGGGGACCTTCCTTAGCGTATTTCGATGCGCTGATTCCGAATCCGTCGTCCGTTTTCTGAAATTCTACCATTTTAGGATAGTTCTTTTATTAGCAGTACTTTGTATGAAAACACGTAATTTTAGTAGCACGTTATATTTACCTAAATGGTTTCGTTTCTAGGTGAAATGCATTGCAAGGACTCTCGATGCTACGAGGCGGGTTTGACTCGGCGACATGATATGTGAGTGGGTCTTTTCTTTCTGTACATATATATATATATATATATATATATATATATATATTGGTTAGTTTCCATATATACAAGCATTAATAAATTCTTTATGCAATTGCCATGATTAAATTAATGTTTATAAGAAATACCTTATTGTTGGGAAATGATGAAATAATCCTACGGGATGCACATGTAAGCTTACTATAAGGAGATGCCTTGATTATATTTATGGTCATGAATAGTACAATATTGATTAGAATTGTTGAGTGGCTGTGGCATGACTATATTGCTGTTATCTGTTCATCATTTGCTGCACTAGCGTCGGTACTCGCCTGGGCCTGGGCCAGTCTTTCACGTGTATGTGCATTTCGCACCATACGCTTACTTTGGATCCATTGTAGGTGCTAGTCCTGTCGTACAGGTTGCCATAGGCAACTCCGACTCGTATGTGATGCGCATAGTGCCAGTCTTCACATGATTGTAGTACTAGAGTGTATATTATTATTACACCCAGTCCTGTTCATGTCAGAATACCTCTACATTAACTTGTGTGTCAGCATGTGTCAATGAGTACCCAATATGATATGTTGCTTATGTGACATTTTGTGATTATGGATGTCATGCCCTTATTTACGAGATATTGTGCCGTAATGAATTCTTGAGATTTTGCGGGCTATGGTAAGTATTTTCTTACTATACGTAGTATGTATATTTTGGAAACTATACTGGTTTTTCAGCGAAGGGTTATTTTCGAAAAGGTTTTTACAAATATTTGTTTCTAAGCCCACTTACCCATGTTTTTCGCCCCTCCAAGTTTTATTGCTGAGCTTACATGTCGACGAGGATTCTTGGCAAATCTTGGTGTAGACGATTACCTTCGATGGTATAATTCTCACCCTATCTTACTGTACTGTACTTATGCTCTGACATCACGTGTGAAATAAGTTCATTCCCGCTCATTGCGCACTCTATTACTTAGGTACTTTTAGGTTTAGGTTTATACACATTTTCCACATCACTACACTTTATGGCTTCGACACCTTCTTGGTGTCGGCCATCACAGCTCGATTCAGAGTCCAAATGTACATTTCAGATTGAGGTGTGTCATGGCCTCTACTCGGCATCCGTCTAGGGTCTAACGCTTTTAGAATTCTGGCATTCACTATTCATGCGAGAATGAAGGAGAAGGATTTCAGCCAAATGAATCACTTTCTTTCTCTTTTAAGTACTTGCAGAAGAATTTTGTTATGAGATTTGAATGATGCTGATAAAACTTGCCTTGAAGGTATCCTATCTCAATATATACCCACGTTTTATTTTATTTATCTATCATTATTGAAAATTCAACCCAATTTATTGAAATTTCTCTTTACACCCAACTAATTGAGTCAATTAATTATTTAAAAAACAAAAAAAACAAATGTCAAACACAAAGGTTTTCTTCAAGGTGATGTAGTCATTGTACGCATATGGATTGTTGGATTTTCAACATAACAAAAAATAAAAATAAAATACCGAATAATTCTAAAAAAAAATTCAAATGTTTTTAACAACATATTTAAAACTAGACGCACTTAAGAAACTTAAAAAGTTCAACCATCTTCTTCGTTTGCCTTTATCTTTAATTAATTATGCTTCTTTGTAATGTTGTGTTTTATTTTGTAATTACAATTAAATTATCGGAATTTAACACAGTGTTTTATTCTCAAAAAATAAATATTATGTACGCAAGTGGCTCTTTACTATAATAGTGTAAATGAGTTAAACCTTTGTATAATGTCGTGGTCTCAAACTCCGTTCGTGATTAATTTAACAATATTTATCGTTTGACAAAAAAAAAAAAAAAGCAATTTTATTGCTTTTGCCCTCCAATTGCCATTGCCCCACGTAACATGTCGGCCGTCAAGATCTATCGTGAGGCTCTTCTTATAAACGCATCTTGCCCCACAAAAATGACCTTCGTACTATAGAAGCAGCGCCTCTTCTATCCAACCTAAACCCCCAAACCTAAACCCTTCTTCTTCTTTGGTTCTTCCCTTCCCATCAGCCTCTTTCTTTCATTCTTCCATTGCCTCCCATATTTCCACAATCCTAAGCTCCGATTGAATTTTGATTCATATGGGCAGTAAAAAGAGAAGCTCCACTTCCATGGAAGCTGCGACTGATGCTGTCGCTAACGATGGCGGCTTCAGTAATCTGAAGAAATCGAAGAAGGGCAAAACAAAGCAGGAGACAACAGAATGTTCTGCCCCTTCTTCTTCTACCGCTCCCACCGCCGTCAAACCCATGGAGAGACAAAAGAAAAGGAAAGCTTTGGACAAAGTGAGGCGCCTCCACACTGAGGAGGCCAAACCCAAAGAACCCAAAACAATGGAGGTGCCTGCTTCGTCTTCAACGAGCGGGGTTCTTCCGGAGTTCCATGTGGGTGTGTTTAAGGACTTGGCTTCGGCTGATGGGTCTCTTAGAGAAGCTGCGGCGGAGGCTTTGGCTATGGAGTTGGTGGCCGTGCAGAGAGCTTATGATGGGCTTGAGAATAAGGAGTTGATTGAAGGTGGAGTGAAGTTGGATGCCGAGAAGGATGATGGGTTGAATGATTGTGCGCCTTCCTTGAGATATGCTGTGCGGAGACTCATTTGCGGCGTCTCTTCATCAAGAGAGGTTTTGATTTTCCACCATTACTTTGTCTTACTTGATATGTGAATGTGGCATGGTATTCGTGTATTCGAATTTTTTTGTGTCATGGTTATGGTTTTAAGTTTAGGCTCTCTTGAATTGTATGCTCCTTGATTTAATTGTTGTTGCTTTTAAGAGTGTAATGTGGGACACATTTGTATTCAAGTCTTGGAAGTATTTAGTCTTTAAGGAATCTAAGCTTTTGGAGCTTTGGTATATTTGCATTAGTCATTGGTTGACCATTGTAATAGACTGTGGTTTATTATCTGATTTAATGCTCTCTCGATGCAAACTGTTTGTTTCTTTTGAAGCCTTCGTTCTTCAACTTATTTAGTTGAATTGCTTTCTTAAGTGAAGTTCATTATTATATCTCACTAAATGCAACCAGAAGCATTTTTGTTTTTCTGTCCTGAATCTCATCCAAGTTCAATATTGAAAGCTTCCAATTGCATGCAAGAGGCTTGGTTTAGGGGTACATAAGGGATGTTTTGTAATTCATTTATGTACCTATAAAATATGCAATAAAGTTTTGGAGACGCATATGTTAATGCGTTGAGTTCAATTTTGTGGGTTGTTGTAGTGCTTTTTTGTTAAAATCTATACATGGTAATTTTCTATTAAATCTGTCAGTTCTGCAGATTATTATAATAAGTTACTAGTTTGAACCATTTCATGGTTAGAGACTGTATTTGAAAGTTTGAAAAATTTTGATATGTCAGTTGTGGCATGGCAATTTAGAATGTGCTCAACATCTTACTGAAATTCTACTTACATTAATAAGTTTTGTTAAATGTTTTTCATTGAGAATTTGGCATGAGTTATTGTGTTCTGATATTAACTTGAAAACCTTCGAATATCACACAAATGCATGTATTTAACAGTTTGATCTTGCCGAAATAAATTTGAGAAGCTAATGTAGTTCAACTTGTGTGGCTAACTTTTGTTATATGTACTATATTTCTTTTCCAGTGTGCAAGACAAGGGTTTGCATTAGGTTTAACTATTTTAGTAAGTACGATCCCCAGCATCAAGGTGAACTCATTGTTGAAACTTATTGTTGATTTCTTAGAGGTCTCTTCATCGATGAAGGGTCAGGTGGGCAAAACCTTTGCTTTATATTTCAAAGAATTCTTTGATTCAATTGCTGTATTTTCCCTAGAAAGTTTAGTTATTGCTTCCTCGTTGCATTGCAGGAACAAAGGGATCATCTTTTGGGTCGCTTATTTGCTTATGGTGCTATTGCCCGATCAGGAAGACTAGCTGAGGAGTGGGTTTCTGATAGAAACACTCCTCTCATAAAGGAATTCACGAGTCTTCTCATTGCCCTTGCATCAAAGAAGCGATACTTGCAAGAGCCTGTTGTTTCGGTTATTGTAGACTTGATCGAGAAGGTAAATTTTCCTGATAAACGAAATATTGCCTTGCATGTGGATGATATATAATCTTTATGCCTGGTCAATAACGATGATGATTTCAGCGATCTATGCCACAAAGTTCAGTTCCAATCAAATGTTTGCAACATGATTGTTAAGTTTTTTTTTTCTTTTTTCAACTCATTGAATAAACAGAAATATTTAGACTGGCTGTATAAACTTAGCATGTTATGTCATTGGACTGTGTGTTATTTATTCATCAGCTCCTAAACCTGACTTTGTTGATCGAGTTACAACACCATGCAAATGGTCTTTTGAGTCTTAAATTTTTGTTGAATATAATTTTGGGTTTTGTTTAATTGTTTGTGTAAGAAAGTAGTCAACATTTGTTAGTGGTGAATCCGTGAAATGATTTTCTTAGCACTGGCCAAATTACCAACCAATCCATGAATTTAGTTGATCTGCAGGTAACTTTTCATCAATTATTCGGATTTTATTTATCAGCACAGACTAGGTAGCTTTAAAATTTGCCAAAGTTCTCGACCTTGTCTTAGCTTTCCAATTGTTTATGCCTCTGTAGTACAGTAGGCTGGGCTTTTATTAAATTGTTCTATCCTAGATGTAAATGTACAATAAATTCAAATGGCCCTTGATTTGGTCATGCAGTTGCCGAAGCTTTTCATGCAGATTAATTTCTCTGCATTTCGTCAAGTGCCATCTCATTAAGGGACATGCCACTGTTTATAGCTTGTTGTCCTGTTTAAGGGACTTGCCATAGTTCATATTCAATTTATTTTAGAAGACAGAAAAAGCAAGTAAAACTTGTGTCTTTTTATTTCTTTTCAGCATTGCTTTCATTTAGTGAAGATCATCCTGTTAAGTTTATTTCACTCACAATTGCAGACTTTATATGTTAGTTGCATTATTCTATAATGTATTCTACATTGTTTTATTGAATATCCACAATAGATAAATTAACTGTAAAAATAAATATGGTGTCTGTGATTATGTGTTTCTAAATACAGCCTTCCTTTGTGCAAATTTTGTAAGACAATGTCGTACCTAAATTTCGTACTTTACTATAAATCATGCTTTGGTGTATAAGAACTGGTTAACATTGTAGCCTTTAGACAGCATCTGTAGGCTGCAGCGGTGGTTTCAACTGGTGTGGTTCTATGCTTTGAAGTCTACATTTTACAGCTTGATTGAGGATCTCTTTTCTTTGTCTTCTAACAGGACTTTCATGCTTGTAGTTCTAGTCAAGTTCAAGTTGTTAAATGATATAGAACTAGAAGGAAAAGAAAAGCATTTTTCATTCAAATATATTATCAGACCAGGCTATAACAGTTAGTCCCAGTTCCTTGATAAGAATCCAGCCCAAAATTGAAGGGGTGGGATATAGAGAGAGTTTAAGTCTTTGTATTCTACACTTTAGTGAATGGTTCTTGTACGTACATTTTGCCATCATTTTGAGGGGTTGAAGCGTTTCCCCTTCTAGAATGTGTCCTTCTATGTGCAGAGACGGGGTTGTTGCTTCTGTTTCCACTGCTTTGTTTTAGCTCCTTGTTTTTTTTTAACCTGATTTTTTTTTATTGTGAATACATAGGTCCTTGCCATCATCATGTCCTAATACATTTACTTCTGTGTATTCTATATTTGCAGTTGCACTCAGAAGCTTTGCTGAATCACATTCTAGAGGCCCCAGGACTTAATCAGTGGTTTGAAGGAGCTATTCAAATTGGAAATCCTGATGCATTGCTTCTGGCTCTGAAAATCAGAGAAAAAACTCTTATTGAAAGTTCAAGTTTTGGGAACCTTTTGCCAGTTCCATTCAGCCCTGACAAACTGTTTTGTGCTGACCATCTGTCTTCTCTTGCTAACTGCTTGAAGGTAGTGTGGGTTTGTGTTTCTGTGTGCCAAATGTGTGGGTTTGTGTTGGTGTGTTCCATTTATGTGTGGGCGTGCATATTTTTCTGCATGATGGACACTTCATTATGGAGGAAAATATTACTATTAACAAAACCATTCCTGAACTTTTTGGTTTGTGTGGAATATTACAGGAATCCACCTTTTGTCAGCCTCGTGTTCACAATGTGTGGCCTGTTCTGGTATACATGCTTTTACCTGATAGAGTTTTGCAGGCTGAAGATGCAAGTTCTGTTTCAAATTCCTTGAAGAGGCCCAAAAAGAATCGCAAGTCTAGCTCTTCTGATGAAGAAATTGCAAAGAACTTTCAGTGCTTCTGTGAGGTGATCATTGAGGGATCGCTTCTAACATCATCTCATGACCGCAAACACTTGGCCTTCGATGTTCTGCTTCTTCTTCTACCAAAGTTGCCTGCATCTTTTATTTCAATTACTCTGTCATACAAGATTGTTCAGTGCATGATTGATATACTTTCTACAAAGGATTCTTGGCTCTATAAAGTTGTGCAACATTTTCTTAAAACTTTAACTGATTGGGTTGGGGATGATGATGTGAGAAGGGTTTCTGTCATTGTGGCTCTACAGAAACATAGCAACGGAAAATTTGATGGCATTACACGAACAAAAACAGTTAAGGATTTGATGTCAGATTTCAGAACAGAATCTGGTTGCATGCTGTTCATTCAGAACCTGTTGAACATGTTTCTGGATGAAAAGCATGCTACTGAGGAGCCTTCAGATCAGAGTCAAACGACAGATGACAATTCAGATATAGGTTCTGTTGAAGACAAGGAATCTGTTGGAACCATGGGAAATTCTGATTTTTTGAAAACATGGATTGTGGAATCCCTCCCCAGTATATTGAAAAATTTGAAACTGGATCCTGAGGCAAAATTTAGGGTCCAAAAAGGAATTTTGAAGTTTCTAGCAGTTCAGGGTTTGTTCACCGCATCTCTTGGGTCTGAAGTAACATCCCTTGAATTACAAGAGACATTTAGGTGGCCAAAAACTGCCATCTCAAGTGCCCTTTGCAGGATGTGTATTGAGCAGCTCCAGTTACTGTTTGCAAACTCTCAGAAAGGAGAGGGGTCACGTCCCTTGCTAAATTGCGTAGAGCAAAGTGACCTTGGCTCATACTTTATGCGGTTCCTTAGCACTTTGTGCAGTATTCCTTCCGTCTCATATTTTCGGCCTTTGGAAACCGAGGAAGAAAACACTTTGAAAAAATTGCAAGCAATGGAAACTTCACTCTCAAAAGAGGTACTTTCTTTGGCCGTTTTTAGTTCCATGTAATTATTTGTCAGGTACTTTCTCAGAAGAGGTACTTCACTCCACGTAATTATGCATCTGATCAACCTAAATTTCTTTTGATTTCAAGTTGAGTTTCAAATTTTAGATTGGAATAAGTTGGATATGACCCCCAATATGTCATAAAACATGGAATCAGTGAGATTTTTAAAATTAGGGGATGGTGTTTCTGATGCGTTATTTCCTAGTAAAGGCCTCTTTTTTTGTTGTTTTCATCCGACTCAAGATAGGTTTAATTCTATTGATGCCTTATTCCGGGGTCTTGTAAATGGTGTGGTCTTACCTTCTAGGCCATCTTCGGCAGAACTACTTTGAACTCAAGTTTAAGATGCATGCTTGTTAATTAATTCTATTTTAGTCTTTCAGTTTCTTGGTTGTACTGTCCTTTCCGTGTTTTTTGGCATGACGTGAAACTTCTTGAATGCTTCAATTGCAGGAAAGGAATTGTCAGCTTACTAATGATGCAAATAGGTTGCATGCACTAAGATACTTACTCATCCAGCTGCTTTTGCAAATGCTCCTTCGACCAAAGGAATACTTAGAAGCAGTCTCTGAGCTTATGATATGTTGTAAGAAAGCTTTTCCTGTTGCTGATCTTCTTGATGCCCCTGGAGAAGATGACTTGGATGATGAGGGTGCACCTGCCATGATGGATGTTCTTGTGGATACATTGCTTTCTTTGCTGCCAGAGTCATCAGCTCCCATGCGAACTGCAATCGAGCAGGTGTGATGGATGTTCTTGTGGATACTTGAATTATCTTACATATATGCTATGTTGGAATGTTAGGAATTTATTTGATATTACAATGTTTTGGAATTTTATTTATGTAGTCAGACAATTTATCTCTGAATGATAATCATGTGCTTTCACTGATACTTTACTGGAATTGTTCTTTTTAATTCTGTAATTTGATTAGTTGGGCTGTTTAATTCTCTCTTCTGATGCTAGACTAGTATATTTTGTGCTGGAGGTACATTATTAGATACCAAATTGATGAACTAGAATACTGCAGTGCATATATGTTTAGAAATCTTCCTGTGTATGTGTGTATACTTGTGTGTGTATGTGTGCCTCTGTGCGTGCACGCGTGTGGGGATGTTTTAAGCAAAACCTAAAAAGACTAATTATCTGGAGTCCATGTCTTGTAGGTTTTTAAATGCTTCTGTGATGATATCACGGATGATGGTCTGTTGCGGATGATGAGGGTCATCCGGAAGAATTTGAAACCTGCTAGACATCAAGATGCTGATAGTGATGACATTTTTGATGATGAAGAAGATGATGAAGATTTTCTTAAAATTGAAGAAGATGAGGGAATTGATAAGGCTGAGACAGGTGAAACAGGTGACAGTGATGAGCAGCCAGATGACTCTGAGGCCGACTCTGAGGCTGCTGATGCGGTTGAGGCAGTTGGCAAAGAAAATCCTGAAGCTTCTGATGATTCTGATGGAGGAATGGATGATGATGCAATGTTTCGAATGGATACTTATCTTACCCAGATCTTCAAAGAGCGAAAGAATCTAGCTGGGGGTGACACTGCACATCACCAACTCATGCTGTTTAAGCTTCGTGTTCTTTCATTGCTAGAAATTTACCTACATGAAAATCCAGGCAAGTGTGTTTTATTCAAATTACTTGAAATACGGAAATGGCTTACAACATGTTTTGCAAGCACGAATTAAAAAAGATATTTCTTTCATTTAAATTTAGCTCGTTGGGTTATGTGTTTTATAATGAAATTGGGATTTATAGATCTGATATCTGTATTTGTGCACCTGGTTGACTCAATTAAACAGGCAAGCCGCAGGTTTTGTTGGTGTACTCAAACTTAGCTCGGGCATTTATTGAACCACCCAGTGCAGAAAGTAGTGAACAGCTAGGACAGCGTGTATGGGGGATACTGCAAAAGAAAATTTTTAAAGCAAAGGACTATCCGAAGGGTGAAGATGTGCAATTATCTACTTTAGAATCTTTGCTGCAAAAGAATCTGAAGTTGGCCTCAAAACCTATTAAGAGAAAGAAATCCGCAACCAAACTGTCCAAGAAGAAACAGTCAGCTTCGTGGAACCGACACAAAATGATTACTAGCCTTGCACAGAGCTCCACTTTCTGGATTCTGAAGATCGTTGAAGCAAGAAATTTTCCGGAGTCTGAGCTGCAGAGGATTTTTGATATTTTCCAGGGAGTTCTAGTGGAGTATTTCAATAGTAAAAAGTCTCAAATCAAATCTGGATTTTTGAAAGAAATATTTAGAAGAAGGCCATGGGTAGGGCACCATCTGTTTGGCTTCCTGTTGGAGAAATGTGGCACTTCAAAGTCAGATTTTCGGCGAGTAGAAGCACTTGATTTGGTGAGTGAAATATTGAAGTCCCTGGGCTCCACTGATGGAAGTAGACAGGAAGCGCTGAAGAATATCATGAAAAGCCATCTGCCGAAACTCTGTCGTCTGATAGAACACTTGCTGACAAATATATCAGAAAAACAGTCAAGGCAGGCTGAAGCGTGGAAGTTTTGTAGCAGGATCCTTCAGATGATAACAACCCTTAGGCTGACGAAGTCTTTCCTTAAAAATTTGTCCCCAGATGCTCATGCCAAGTGTGAATCACAACTCAGTGCACAATTTATTAAAATGAAGACAGTACCACATGAGTGAAACTTGCTGAGCTCATGAAGGAATTATGTTTCGTATTTATGTTAAGGGAAGCTTCTTTCAGTTCCCAAACAACAATACTCAGAAGCAGTTTGTGGTAATACCAATCACCATTTTTGACTTTTGGAACAAGATTGAGCTGATACTTGCTCTTCGACGCCAGTTTCTTGAGGCAGGTACGTGTTATAACTTGAAGGAACTTTCCGTCGGTCAAACATTTTTGAGTTTGTGATTTCATTTGGCAGTTATTTATATGAGTAGTTTTTTCAGACAGGAAGAGTTTAGGGGGTAGCAGGAAAGTACGTACTTGGAACAAGTTTTCACTTATTTTCAATCGAAGAACCTTGCGGTGCTAGAATTCCCGGACATCTCTTGTATTGTACTTGATTCATAATTTGTTTTTTCAAGTGTATGCTGCATGAGGTGATGGGCTGATTTGTCTATTTTGTGCACGCGTTTCGAGTATTGACGCTTTCTGTTTTGGGATCAGCATTTTGAATTTGAACACACTATCAAATGACAGATTGGGACCATTTGCAAAAGCAAACAGGATTTTGACATTTCGGAAATGTTTAAAATTCTTTTTCCTCTGTTCCATGGAACAGCAGATGGAGACACCTTTTTCCCAAGTCCGAAAATGACCTGAAATTGAGGTCAACAACAGCATAAAACTGAGCGAACAAGACTTGGTGGTACTACTGTTTTGAGGTTCCGATGTGTTAGGAATCTTATCATCTTGCTTGGTTTCGTAATTTCATTTCGAGATATTGCTAGAATTAGTCGCTCATGAGCCCGTCGAAACAAAAGCAGGTGGATCCCTTTGTTTTGGATCTCAGTACAGGGGGTTCCGATTTTGATTCTGAAAAAATAATGAAAATAATAATAATAATAATAATAATAATAATAATAATATTAAGGCATTAATTTGGGGACCACGAGGATGCACAAATATAAATAGCAAGTCACACGTTTATATGGGATCAAACAAAACCCATTCCAGCCGTAGAGAATACACTTTTTCAGTTTTCAATTTAACTTTGTTGGGGATTAGAATTTGGAATATCAATTTTGATTGAAGCAGGCAGGCAGCCGTTTTCTATTTTATTAGGGCAGGCAGCAGATGCACAGCCACATCTTACCTTTTTTCGGAAAATGATACTCTTTTTAATTTCTCACACTTATTTAATCATGCGTGTTACTTTTGTTTTGATATATATTCAATCCGACGATAAAAAATGATATAATATTCAATCCAACGATAAAAAATGAAGGCGCAAGTTTGCTAATAGTCAACTAGTCTTAGTGGCAATGGAGGAGGAGCAGCAGAACACATGCACTAAGAGCAGTTCCACCGTGGGCTATTGCCCGGTGGATTGGCGTTGGAACAAGGCCAGATAGCCCAAGGGACTTGGTCCAACGTGTGCTAGCGATGGAGCCTGAGCAGGCCTGAGGGAGAGGCCCAGCACGAGTTGCTAGCCTGAGAGACCAAAGGCAACGTGACGTGGGCTGACATTAGGGCGACTTCTGTCACAATATAAAATTAATAAAAATATATAATATTAATAAATAAAGAAAAAGAAAAATTAAAAAAAATTGTAAAACCCAGCAGGCTTCAAACTCAACGGCTATTGCTGGAGTTCGTCGCCGAGGCTGATGAACACCCACAAACAAATGGTAGAGATCCAGTGCCTCCTCCGCAGCAGCTGTCGCCGCACCTCACACTGCCTTCACCCCCATGCACTCGCGATCACCCTCCTTCCATTGGCGCGCCTAGATCGCACAATTTGAGATTTGTTTTTAAGAGAGAGAGAGAGAGAGCGGGGAAGATCGGGACCGTTGATGGAGGCTGAGGTGGGTGGGAAGGTGAAGATGGAGGAAGAGAGGCAAGGAGCGTTTGGGTGCGTTGGGGGGGGGGGACAGGGGTTAAAAATCTGGGTGTGGATGTCTATTTTGGTTTCTTGTTTTTTGTTTTTTTTTAAATATTTAATTAATTAATTTTTTAATAGAAAGTGGTACAGCAAAACCGATTAAAAATTATATCCGAAATTATAAATAAAATTATTTTGTATTATTTAAAAAAAACTAATATTTTATTATCTATTGCTAGGGTTATTTAGTGTAAAGATAGAGATGCAAAAAACAATTACTGTTCATTAAAGACAGTTATTTTTCACTGAATAGATAGCCCTGTGGGGCCTCAGACACCTGGGTAGATAGCCCTATAGGGCCTTAGAGACACGGTAGAACTGCTCTAAAGATATACAAAGGCTGGCAACTTATCATGCCTCCTCGACTGCAAATAATACTTCGTCATTTTTATTTCATCATATATTATATATACCCAACGCATACCTAAATTGATATTTAATTACCTCACCACCCATCACGGGTTGATTATTATAGAAAGAATTTCCAACCTAACTTGCAAATTTGATTTGGGATGATAACGAGAGCCGAACGTGGGCCCTCGAGACTCCGATACCGTTAAGGATATAAAGTCTCAACCCTCCCTCTTCCATAGAGAGTAGAATCTCTTTGTTTGGAGAGGAGGTAACGGCCACTTCGTTTCTGGCTCTACCTAACCAAATCAAATGATCCCTCCCTTAATTCCGTGCTTAAATTAATTAATCAAAATCAAAGCAAAAAAGATGAAAAAAGGAGTAGAGAGGCAGGAGGAGGCACAACATGAGCATAATGTAAATGGGGAAAATTATGTACTCACTCTGTAAAATATTGTGTACAAATCTCTCTCTAATCTCTCTCTTCCCACTACTAACCCCCATTCCTCTTTCCTTCTTTCTTTCCACTACTAGTAAGTTTCACTACAATTTTTACCACCTCTCTCTCTCTCTCTCTCTCTCTCTCTCTCTAACCCACCTACAACAAATTTTTTCTTCACATTTCTTTGTTTTTACACCTCCAAGCAAACTACCAATTCCCACTACTACTACTTCTACCAAATCCCCCAACAACTGCAATGCATGCAGCAGCCACCACCACCACCACCGCCACCAGCCGACCATCACACAAGAAGTAGCTCACACATCTAACTTCTGCTCAGTAGTTCCGATTCCGACAACTCCCGATCCTGCTCGCATCAACACAGTCAACAATACAATTCAGCTCACGTTTCACAAACCATAATCAGCAGCAGCAGCAACATCATAATATCGTAAAGAAGCAATTACAGCAAACCTTACCTCAACAAAGCAATCGACCCAAACAGTTAAAGGCCTCCTTCCCACATGGAAAGCATACTCTTTAGCCAGCTTGCTTCCTTCCCACATGGATCTTTTCTTCCATGTCTGTCTTCCAATCTAATGCAATTCTAATGCAATTGAATGCACAGACTAGGATTGAACATTATCGTCATCTGAGTCACTCCCTGAAGAACTACCAGAATCTGAATCTGCAAACATCCCACCCCGCAAGACATTTAAGCTCTCTCTCTCTTTGTTTTGTTTTTTCATTCTAATTCAGAAACAGTAAAACTTCATTTACACCAAATCTAAATCCATATTTCAGTTTTGGGTTATACCGCTTGATGAGGAGGAGCCACTGCTCGAACTACCAGAGCTGCTTGAACTGTCACTACTTGCATGGCCACCTACATCTTTCTCAATCTCCACTGGTGGGAAGCTGCTCATTGGCATGTCATCGCCAATGTCCACATCTTCATCTCCTGCTTCACCTTTTTTCGACCTCTTTGGCTCTGCTGTTGCTGCTACTTCAACTTTCTCACTCGCAGCTTGATCCTAAAATAGCAAAAAAATCACAATTCCAGTAAGCAAACATTGTGCAAGCAAAATCATAGTATAAACACAATGCCATTCTAAAGAAACTTCAAAACTCAATCAGGCACTTACCCCGTGGCCTCTGTTTGAAGCAATGTTGCTATTGCTGTTGCTGTTGGTGTTGCCCATCAATGCTTGCCGCTTTATCTTGCTAACCATCTTCTTCCAATTCGTCACAAGCCGATCAAGCTCCCAAAGGGTCTCCGTATCGACGGCCTCAATGTCAAGCTCAATCTCATCCCCATCCTGCTTCAAATGCCCATTCCTCTTCCTTATAATCTGCACAACCTGCTCCATCTTCTCCTGAGGCAAACTCTGCAACCCAATTCCCAACTTTTGCTTCTCCTCCATACTCATATCCCTCTTGTTTGGATCCTTCGCCTTTGGCTTCGGCTGCTTCAATGGCTTCACTCCAGACCCCTTCAATTGTGAGTTCGTCCTCAAAGGAGAAGATTGCGCCAATGCTGGATTTGACAACGGGTTTGATGAGCTCACAGGTGCTGGAACGGGAGATGATCGGACTGGCGGAGGCCGAACCGGCTCAGGTTTCTTGTCGATCCGAACAGGCGTCTCCCTCCTCGAAACCCTCTCGGGCTCAACATGGTTCCAGGAACTCGCCTGCAATTCCTCATCAGAACCCTTTTCGGACCGGAACTCATCTCCGTGTTTGTCAATCAGAGGCTGAAACAACTCCTCAAACCTCGAACGAAGCTGATTGGCATAATTATACACCTCGTGGCCTTGAGGATTGTACCGCATGGCATTTTCGAAAGTCAATCGTACATCAGCTGCGAAATCAGAAGGCGTTGAATAGAGACCTTTGGCAAGATTGGTTTTAACAGTGCCGAGATCCATCGGCTTCTTGATGATGTCGTAGTAATCATGAAGGCCCAACGTAACTACATCAACCGGCCTGTTGAAGATCCAGGCGTACTTCTGCTTCATCAGCTTGGATAAAACCTGCCCACAATTCTTCATAGAATCCCCGTTTTCCAAATGCGACCTCTTGGAATTCGAACTCGATTCCTTGCCGTGAGCGATCGGCAAGGACCGTTTCGACCCAGCCATCTTCTTATTGCCGATCGGCTTCTTGTGAGCCGACTTAGGGTTGAAGTGGCCGGCTTCAATTTGATTCTTGAGAACGCGAATCTGGTCGAGCTCATAGAGGAGGCGGTTCTTGAGCTCAACCAGCTCTTTTCTCGAATAGCTCGCGATGTTGAAGCTGACGTATTGGGACTGAACGGGATTGACGTCGTTCGTGTTCGATCGCCGATGGTGGTTGATCGACGAAGCGTCGTCTGATGCAGTCTGAGTGACGGCCGGCGACTCATCGTTAAAATCGGAATGATGAGCTTGGAATTGTCGCTTTTTAGGTTTAGGGTTAGGGTTACGGTGAGTGTTTGATGAAGAAAAGGGAACTTTCCCCATGAATCCTCCTCGGGCTCCGGCTCCTCCACCTCTGGGTTGCTGCGGCCAATTGGGTTCGTTCCGGTTCGCTAAGACGGCGGACGCCATAGCTGTACGGTGTTCGAAGCTTCGCCCTCGGCTAGGGTTCCAGTTGAGCTCCGGCTAGGGATTCTCAATGCAGGTGAAGGACGAGGCACCATGAATCGGCCCCAACGTGACCCACACGCGCCTCCAAGAAATTGGCAGAGAGAGAGAGAGGGACGT